CCAGCGCACAATGGCTACCAAAATCTCCGGATACCAATCTGTTGGACTATTGTGTCTGGAGTATTTTGGAAAGCAAGGTTGGCACTAAAAAATACCAAAGTGTCGATCAACTCAAGCAAGCGCTTCGCCGGGAATAGGCCAAAATACCGCAGAGCAACATTTGGGCAGCGTGTGACGGTTTCATTGGCCGTTTGAAGGCTTTAATTCGTGCCAAAGGTGACCAATTCGAACAAATCTAAACTTATTCTAAAATTTGATGCTATTTCCGACAATTTTTCAATAAAATTTAAAAAAAAAAAATGTCAAAATTATGGCGTTTGACTTTGTTGCAACTCGAAAAAATTTCATGAAATAATTGATCAAAAAATTAAAAAAAAATTTTCGGGGTTCTTTGGGAACATTAGCTCAAATATTTTTTTGATACACATTGGAAATAATTTTTATACCCTACAACACTATGTGTTGGGGGTATTATAAGTTTGATTGGGCCAAAAATTATGTAACACCACGAAATATTGATTTCCCACATAGGAAAGTATATATGGATCTTCCTAGCTCGCCGAGCTGAGTCGATCTAGCTATGTATGTCCGTCCGTCCGTCTGTCCGTCTGTCCGTCTGTCCGTCTGTCCATGTTAATTTGTAATCACTCTACAGGTCGCAATTATGGCCCGATCTGCACGAAATTTAGAATGGAGGTGGGGCTAGGGTCAGAATAGAACCCTATTTCTTTTGGAGATGATCGCCAAATGCTTAGGGGTTGAAATGGACCAAATACTGAAAAAATTTCGGATTTTGCAGTAGCTATACAGGTCGCAATTATAGACCAATCGACATGTAGCTAGAGTTTAGGGCGGGGAAGAAGCCCACCAAATTGGGTGGTCATCGGATAATATTTAGCGGGTAAAATAGGCCATATCTTTTTTGTTGAAAAAATTCAAAATTTTTCATAAAACCGCGAATATTTTAAATCCCGGCGAAGTCACAAAGCCATGACAAGGTTACTTCTGATCTTTACATTGATGTTAAGATCCAAAAAATCGAATATATAGCAAATATATGCGATATATATGTCTATCAAAGAAGATATGCTTGAAAGATCTCATATATGTCGAGAACGGCTGAACTGATTTCGACAGTTCTCATTAATTCAGAATGGCCTCTTGGCAGGAAAGGAAAAACGTCTAAAAAAATCGCATAAAAATATCTCTCTAAAGATGAAAGTATTAATTTTATAAAATTTTCTCTTATTTTTTTAATTTTGTCATATTTTTGGCATATTTTCATTTTGAATTAAACATTTGGTAATATTTCTACAGCTAACAAAACTAAGTAGTTAGGATATCAGGATATCATATACAGATCGTAATTATGGCCCGATCCTTACGAAATTTTGCATGGGGATAAGATGAGGGTCAGAATAGAAGCCTACTCTTTTTGGAGATGATCGCCATATATTTAGGGGTTGAAATGGACCAAAAAAGTGCAAAATTGTCAGCAGGTCGTAATTATCACCCGATCCTCACGCACATTTGAATGGGGGTTACCGGACATTGCAAAAGCCAAGCAGTTTTGGATGGCCATCCAAAAATATTCAATGTGTGGGAGGAGTTTGCCAACTTTTGTAGACAAAATACGAAAATGTCCATTCCGGTGACTTTTTGGAGAATTCACAAATACAGGAAAGACGCACTTCTAACTATTTCGTTAACGCTGATTTCGTTGAAGAATATAGTCAAATGTCTGTATCAAATATAGATGCGTTTCAGTCAAAAACCAATAATAAATGTTAATCTTTTGCCACTTCTGAAAGATTATAGGTCTTTGGGAAATATTGGTTCCAGATTTAGGAAGACCATTTACGTGCAACATCTACCAATAAATTGGAAATGAGCAAATTAGTTTGAGTTGCTATTATTCGAAAATTAGAGAACGAATCCTGATGGTTTTCTTTTATTATTTGTCACAATATCTTGTGGAATTCTTTCGAGTGTCTCGCCTATATAAACTATATCGTTTATTATAGTGTTGTAGGGTATTCAACGGTCGGCCCCGCTCGACTGTAGCCTTTGCTTACTTGTTTTTTTCTGTGGTAATTTTTAGTAAAATTTAATGAAAACGATGCTTTGTAGGAGATGTTTGCATAAACTCACACAAAGTACGGCTAAAATACGTTTTTAATACATAACAATCCCTGACGTTTAATTAAGATTTAGACTCTGGACGTCTTCTAGGACCTATAGAATTTTTGAAAAATTCTTTTGTGGAATACTTTTATTTGCTACGAGTAAAAAAGCTGTACGTTCGGTCGGGCCGAACTTTGAATACCCTCCACCATTTGGAATGAATTTTCAAAAAAATAAAATCCGTTAAAAATTCTGTTAAAATCTTACAAATACCGAATGTAGCCTGGACCTGCATAGCCAACTTTTTTTCATAACCCATTACAATATTCAAATGCAACCCTTGAAAAAATCGGTGAATAATGTGGCTTATTCCGAATATATGGAGAAACCATTATGGGGGCTATACCAAAACGTGGACCTTCTGTCATGGGCTGTAGTATCCATTACGAACTTCAAATACCAAATTTGAAACAAATCCGGCGAATAATGTCGCTAAAATTATTAAAATACCGAATATATGGAGGTAAGGTTATATGGGAGCTATACGAAGACGTAAAACTGCATAGGAAATTTTTAGGCATAAGCTGTAGTACCCATTAGAAACTTCGAATACGAAATTTGAAACAATTCGGGTGAATAATGTCGCTAAAATTATCAAAATACCAAATATTGGGAGGTGCCGTTATATTGGGGCTATACGAAGACGTTGATCTACATACGAAATTTTTAGGCATTACAAACTTCGAATACGAAATTTGAAACAATTCGAATGAATAATGTCGCTTAAATCATCAAAATACCCAATACCGGAAGGTACCGTTATATGAGGGCTTTACGAAAACGTCCACCGACATGACCCATTTACGAACTTAACCTGCCTATTGGCAAAACACATGTGTGGGAAAATTTTAGACTTCTATCTTAATCCGAAGATAGAATATAATTATAGAATTATCCAAATAAAATAATTTGAATTACAAACCGAACAATTAGAATTACAATTGGAGTAATTCGATTTACAATTTAAATTCTCGAATTACAACTAAAAAAAATAATAATAATAATAAATACAATTTTAATTCTAGATTTACAATTCGAATTACATCTGAAAAAGGTGGAGATATCGGGAACTTTGGAGTCCGAAGACAAACTTTTGATCTTCTGAAGAATGGCGTTTCTAATTCCCAAGTTCCCTTCAGACGTTTCTATACCCGTTTTCCTTATATTTAAAAATCATTTCGCTACTTTCATGTTTTATTAATTTTAGGTGGTGACAGACAACATTATTTTTGCAATTTTCCTATTCACTTATTTCTTTCATTAAATTTAACAATGAACTTTCGCTTTTAGAGATTACAATCTTCCAATAAGATTGGCCATAATAAAACTAGAAGCATTTAAATATCACCAAAATTAAAATTCTTTCCCAATGAAAGCTATTTTGTTTTTTTTTTTTCTTTTTCTTAAAACAAGAAAAATTTCTTATTTCCTTTCTTTATCATCGGCCCCATCTCTTTTATCTTCCGGTATTATTTAATTTTATCATCACTGTACTATCCCGGGTATACATTGACCAACAAACAAACAAACAGAAAATAACAACAACCGTCGACAAACAATAAACTTCCTACGGTCATAAAAAAGTTCATAATAAAAGTTCAAATGCCATAGCAAACTGCTGGCTGGCTGGCTAACTTACCACATCTAGGCAACAAAAGTCGTTTATAAAATGGCCGAACAAGAAGCGATTACACTTGAAGAAGCAGCAGGGTAAGGTGAGTTGAGTGGTTGTTGTTATGGGAGTTGTTGTTTCTGTTGTTGTTGTTGGTGGTGGTAGCATCCAAAATACCATGCATTGGTTTGGTTGGGTAGGTCGCTTGGTCGGTCGTTTTGTTTATTTATTTTGTGTTATTGCATTTTTGCTCAATTCACTTTTTATTTTGTTTGGGTTTCCTTTATTTTATTTATTTTTTGAAATGAAAAACTTAAGAAACAAGCACTTTATGAGTTTTCTTTACCACTTGACACAACACACACACACGCACACTCAGATGCAATAGAAAGGCATGCCCATGCACACACAAACACTGAGTCTTGCAAAATTCACTTCTTTAATATCCAGGTGTGCAATGAAGTTTTGCAAACAACTAAGCACCTTTATTTATTGAATTCTTATTAAGTTATCTTGGTATGTATTTATAATTTATTTTGTTTTATTTTCTATAATATTCTTTGTTTTCCGTGCAGTCAACACTCCAAACAAAAGGAAATCGTAACTATTTTACAAGTGCACAACAGAGCCAACACAGTTACAAGAACTAGGTACCACTGCAAAAATTGTTTTGCATTAAATGTTGTTGTGTAGGTAGCTTTATTGTATTCTCAATGCATAGCAATCGCTGTTGTTGTGTTAATTAATATTTTTTATTAATTTGTTACTTTTGTTCTAATAGCAAACACTTCGTGTTTTTCATTTCAGTGTTTTCTCATCACTCACACACTCACTGAACAGACGTCTTCCATTAACTCACTGCTAACACTTGTTCTATGTTGATCTTCGATACATATTTGTTATCTATTTTTCTTTTAGTCTTTTTTTCCCGCCTAGATTAGCTTTTAACGGCAACGTTCAATCCGCGCTTTACGTGTTGTCCACACCAAGTTTAATCCAACAATGTTTGTGGAGTTCGTTAAACATGCAATTGTCATTGGTTGGTTTATCATGAAATTCCACATGAGTTGCTCTCCCGCTCTTCAACTTTCTCTTCTGTCATATTAACAGTTTACAATTTTGTGTAAGTGAAATATAGATGGCGTTGGTATGTTTCATTGAAGGAAGAGATAAAAATGTTAAATTATTATATATTTTATACATTTTTGTTATGTGTGCATATGCTCGGCATACGATTAGGCCATCCGACTGTCACAGAGACTCCCAGGGCTAGGGATCTCAACCCGCCAATCGAATCCAACACACTAACATTGAAAGGGGACTTTACTACAATTGCTCTACTCTACGATATACAAAATAGGAGTCATCATACAGGGATCTCGGTGGATCGATCCCACACTCGCCCACCCTACCTGGATCCAGTATTTCCATTTCTTGCGTTTCTCTGAATCCCCTTGAGCCACACGCTTCGAATCACACACTTACTTCATACCACCTTCCCCCCAAGCTATACAAACTTAGCAACACATATTAGTATCTACTGTTTACAAAAGAATCATTTTTAATTTTATTAAAAAAAATAAGTTAGCTTTAAATATTTTCTTAATTTTTTTCTCTACTATTTTTTTTCTTACACTAAAATTGACAAACTGTATGGTATAAAAAAAAACAAATTAAGAATAATACCGGGCTTTCTTAAATCTATGGCTTTAATTACTCGGTAGAAACCAATATATTATCCTTTGCCTTGCTTTTCCCGCGCAATATTCACGCGTCTATACGAAATTACTAGCCACCTAAAAGAGCTCTCTTAACCGGCCTAATTGCCGCTAAAATTCCACGGCCTAAACTATCAGATCGAATCACAAGGACTCAAGATAATTTTACTGTAACACCTCCTAGCCTTTGAAAATAAACGCGGTATTTTTCCCTTACAAACTGATTATTACTTAAATCCTAAGAACTATAACCTATCTTATTACTAAATCTTTATACTGAATATTATATTTTTTTTCTCGAAATTTATGATTATTAACTCTTTTTTTCTTTTCTTTTAGTTCCAAAAAAGGAGACAGCAAATTTTATGGACGTCACATATATATATAAATATATCTATCAAGGACAACACAACGGTAAGACACCTTTTACCTGAGCAGTGATTTATAACGTTATTGATTAATTCTTCTTATCTCTTCTTCCAGTTTACGCTTCTTTCCGGAGGAAACAGATTTTGAACGCCAGGCAAACCCTGAAATGAAGCTGGACTTGTTGACTGGTCCTTTTACAATGCCGGCGTTCTGGGCGGGATCAATAACAGGCACAGCAAAAAGCTCAAAGTTGCAGCTGGCCAGTTTACAATTCAAATCTCCACACCCTCAATGTAACTTTTTTTGGCTTTTTTCTCCTGTGGACAACTTGCCACTACCTTGCGTTACCAAAAAGAAAAGGCAATTTCCCGCCGTTGTGCTGACCAAAACCGGACAATTTTCGGTGCTTCCAAAAAAGCTTGATACACCACCGGAATATTCCTGTTGGAGCAACACACATCACATATAACAACACATTACTCAACAAACCACTGTTACAAACTACTTACACAATAAAAAAATCGCAACACACAAATTAAATTTTTCCACTTCTTCACTGCTCTCTAGCTAAGTTTCACCGGTAACGTCTTATTCTTAACTTTGGCTTTTCTTATGCTCGCAGCCTTTTATACCCCTCTTCTCAGTGAATCCCGCCAGACGCTCATTTTCCACGAAACACCATTTTCCTGAGCCATTTTCAATTTTCATTCCTTTTTCTTTTCAACTGTCAATAGCCATTTTTATTCTATTGTGAATTCTCATTTCAGCTCACCCCGGAGTAGTAGTAGGTTCCCACCTACTCAGCAATCATAGGGCTGCCTAGTCACTTCTTAGCCTGAGTCACCCTGTCATTCACTACCTTTATAATACTCTTTAACTCAACCCTGTTCGAGCCTAATTTCGTACGTAGCGAACCCTATCAAACCATTTCCGGCATTTTGATCCCATCGCCACCCAGACTACACACCCCGCAGAAATTACAAGCAAATTGAAATCTCGAAGCATCCTCACCATCCTCACTAAAAACCCAAGAAAACTGAGCAAATCCATTTGAGGACCAATTATGGGATGCACTACCAACAGAATTGGGATAATTTCTGCGGTGGTTGTGGACAGGTTTTGCCAAAAAACCCGGCCCCATATATTTGTTGCCTTTTTGCGCCGAATGTGAACGGCCTGCAACAAAACTTCAACTTCGGCCACAAAATCGAGGACGGAGGTGATGTGCACGGCCGCATTACTCATTTACGTGGGGACATCCCACTCCCTGAAGGTCTCATGCCGGGCATAAGCTCCGAACAGCAGGCTGGTCAAAGCCCTCCCCCTCATGCTGGTAAATATCCCCCATCGAAATAGAACCACATAAATTAATTTATTTTTCTAATCTGTCCATCAGATCTGTGAAACATGTCTTGCTAGTTCGCCTGATAATTCTCGATCCGACACCCTGAAAATATCGTGTCACTACCAAACATCGATCGAGTTCCGAGTCCGGGAAACTCGCTGGTAATTCCCCTATAGCAGGTCAACATTTGGGAAGATCAAAAACGCTCATAAATTTTACAATACGCATTCGGTTATTTATAAAATCCCGCATTCAGTATTTCTACTAAGACAAGTTCAGAGGAACGGATGGGATTTATCGGCCCACTCCTTTGGGACCTTCACTACAAAAAGGTAAACATCCGGAACAACCCAATAATTCTACCAACCCAAGACCTTGTGTGGAGTTGGAATATATTTGTCCTCTCTGGCGGATCCACACTGGTAACACCCAACAGCTCTAAATGAAAAATTCTCCGATTTCATCAAAATTTCACACATTCTTCTTGGTTATGGATATAATCTTCAAAGTTGGAATCTATACGTACTTTGATACACAAATAATTTGATCAAATTATTGAAATCATGGTACAATAAAAAAGTAAGGTAGATCTGAAAGCTGATTACAATTTTTTTCCCAAGTGTGCCCGACTTCTGTCATTATTGTGTATTATTTGTTTTGAAAATAAAAAAAAATATTTTCAAGGTCAATGTTTGGAAAAACGAACACTGCGTGGCCGGCGTTCAAAATATTACCCTGTTTTGTCCTGGAATTGAAGGAATAAACAGTTTGGATCACATTTTTGAAAAAAAATCCGTGCGTTCAATAACGCATTCAAAAAATAACAACAATTATCAAAACATTTTGTCGCATACAATTTTGAAGTATTTTGACAGAAAGCGGGCATAGCCCTAGGAATGTATTTCGGTACTTTTTTGTTTGTTTTGAACATTTAATAACTTTCATTCCTTAATAGGTGGTGAAACATTTTGCATGCGGAAATATTTGTGCCTATGCCTGTCTTGTCGTCGTGGTTGCCGAAGAACGGATTTTGTATGCGGTATTTGCTGATGTGATTGATAGGTAAACAAATACCATAATCGTGGTGTCTACGTGATTGTCTGGTAGAATGTAGTTTTATGTATGTTCGCTTTTTATGTATGGGAATCTTTCATTAATTTATGCCGGAATAAACCAGATTGTGCTATTTTTATCGCCACCGGGTGTGTTCGAGTAAAATTTTTTTTTTTTTTTTTCAAATTTGTATGTCGCGTAGAATATTTTGTAAAAGAAATTAGACAGCTGTGATAAACGTGAAACTAGAGTCTGATTACTTTGAATTACCCAATTAGGGGAACAGATCAGCTGATATTTTTGAACCTTAATACGAATGAATTCAGTACGAAGGTGATTTTACTATCGTATTTAGTTTCATCCGACACATTTTCTATGTTTTGTTTTGATTCATTCGATTTTGAATTAAACAATTGCTGATAAATGTGATATAGAATTGGTACCAAATGTGAAATAGTTTTTGAAAGTTATTTTAGAATTCTTTTTATAAAAATTGAATTGGGAAAGGGGATTGAACAGACTTTCTTTTCCACTTATCTTTTAAGATCTTTTGCATGACAGATTCCAATCGCCTTTCCATTTAGATCTTCGAGAGAATACATATTATTTCCTATGGGCTTTACTATACGACACTTCGTAAATTTCCGGGCAAACTTAGCATTAAAATTTTTCCCAAAATCGCTAAGAACATAGTTTCTTTTATATACCTCTTGCCCCGGAGAGAAAATAATCGTACGAGCCCTTGCGTTATACCTTTTTGCGCTTTGTTGATAAGCCTGATGCATATTCTGTCTAATTTTATTTCGGATTAGTTCCATCTTGTCGTTACGATCTAAATGTATAATTTCATGGTCCGCCAATGAGTGGAGCTTCCGAGCTAATTTATAATCTGAACCATGGGTATACATACTATGACCAAACAGCGCGAAAAATGGCGTTACACCAGTTGCAGTATGAATCGATGTTCTTAAGGCGCACTCTATGTCTGTTAGATACAGGTCCCAATCTCTGTGGTCATTTTCTAGATATGCCCTAATCGCCGCCAATACTGATTGATTGACTCTCTCAGATGCATTAGACTGCGGAGCATATGGAGCTGTTTGGATATGATTGATTCCATATGTTTCAATCATGTCTTTGAAAGTTTTAGATACGAACTGTGCCCCATTGTCGGAATGTATCGTCTCGGGTACGCCAAACTTACGAAATATATCCTCAACCATAAATTTTACCACATTGGAAGCTGTTGCCTCTTTCATTGCCTTAAGAAATGTAAATTTGCTAAAGTGGTCCACCACTATAAATATAAAGGCGTTGCCACTTTTAGACCGGGGGTATTTCCCGAGGAAGTCAACGTAGAGTTTCTGGAAGGGAAGATTTGTCACGACTTCATTTCCGATCTGAGGCTGAGTATTTTCATTGGTAGGCTTTGTCTCTTTGCAAACAGTACATTTAGACACATATTGCCTAACCTGGGATACCATTAGAGGCCAGTAATATTTTTCTCTTAAACGAAAAATGGTTTTTGATATGCCTCCGTGAGCTGACGTCGTTCTATCATGGGCTTGCTCTATTAAAGAATGGGTCAAAGACTCTGGGACCCACAATTTCCACTGAAACTCTTGTGTTTCTGGGTTATAGGACTTGTGATCTCTTTTAAATACCATATTGTCGACAATCTTTAGATCGGGGAGATTCTCCTTTTTATTTGCAATAATTTCTCTAAGCTGTTTGTACGAATCACTTTCAAACTCGGTGGTCTCGAATTCAAAAACCCGATTCATGTCTATTTCGTCGGCATTGGGTAGGCGGGATAGCATATCGGCGACAACATTTTCCTTTCCTTTTCGGTGCTCGATTTTGAAGTTAAATCCCTGAAGTTGCAATGACCAGCGAGCTAAACGACCACTGAGGTCCTTTAGACTCATCAGCCATTGTAAACTAGCGTGATCTGTTATCACGGTGAATTCCATTAGCTCCACGTAAGGACGGAAAGTTTTGATAGCCATCACCGCCGCCAAGCATTCCTTCTCTGTCACGCTATAATTTCTCTGACACTTATTGAGCTTTTTCGAATAGAAAGCGATCGGATGCTCATGTCCTTCGGCATTCAGCTGAAATAGAACAGCGCCGATGCCATATTCCGAAGCATCACATTGAATAAAAAAGGGTTTGGAAAAATCTGCGTGGCGTAACACCGGTGCGGAAGTTAAGGCCCTCTTTAAGTTTTCAAATGCCTCCTTTGCCTTGTCCGTAATTACGAATTTGGGCGATTTCTTCAGGGTATCAGTAAGGGGAGCTGAAAGTGACGCGAAGTCTTTAATAAATCTTCGGTACCATCCTGCTGTACCCAGAAAACTTCTCACTTCCCTAGCACTTTTGGGAATTCTAATTTTTCGAATTGCTTCTACTTTTTCGGGGTCAGTACGCAACATGCCTTCTCCAATAATAAATCCCAAATATCTCAACTGACGAAAACAAAATTTTGACTTGGTTAACCCGATTGTTAAATTCGCTCGGTCAAGGCAATCGGCTACTTCATTCAATAGACGAAGATGCTCGTCGAAATCACTTGAAATAATCAACAGGTCGTCCAGGTACACAAAGACATTCTCCTTGAGTCGTTGGGGAATGACTTTGTCCATCAGTCGACATAACCTTTGTGCAGCATTACACAATCCAAACGGCATCACACGGAATTGATACAATGGACGGCCTGGGACCGTAAAAGCGGTGTACGGCTTGCTTTCTTCGTCTAATTCGATTTGCCAGAACGCATATTTAAGATCCACGCTGCTAATGTAATGAGTTTCATCAATGCGACTTAGTATTCCTTCAATGTTTTGCAGGGGATATGCGTCCTTGACCGTGAGCTTATTTAACTTTCGAGCATCCAGACAGAAACGATTTTTTCCGGGCTTTCGTACGATAGTTGTACGATTGCTCCAAGGGCTTTCACTTTCCTCAATAACATTAAGTGCTAACATATTATCGACTTCTTGGTACGTGATAGCTTGAACCGCTGGAGACATTGGATAGTGGCGGTCTTTAACCGGTTCCGCACCTTCCACGAGCTTAATCGAATGCTTTTCTAAACTAGTACAACCTAGCCCATTTTCTTCAAAGGTCTTGAATTTTTTTACTATGCATTTTAATCGATTCTCTTGATCATTTGTTAACTCGTGAGGGTTGAGTTTGTAGTCGGGACCCGTAGCAGTCATATCCCTGAAAACTTTTTCTATATTAATTTCAGCAGCTCCTATCACATCAGGGGCTAATTCGAATGTTCGCCAGAAGTCTATTCCAAGATATAGTTCTTGTTCCAATTGAGGACATAGATACAGTGTCATAAATTTTTCCTGCTCTTGGTATTTTATGATGGCTTTAATTTTCCCTAAAACATTATACTGTGTACCTCCGGCGGTGGTTACCCTGCTGGACATTGGTATAATTGGAATGCCAAGTTCTTCTATTATCTCTCGGCAATTTTTCCCTAACATAGTAACCGAAGCGCCGGTGTCTAGGAGCCCATTCATGATTTTTCCTTGCATACTGATTTCCGAGAAAACTCTGGGATCTGAGGCAATACCAGTCACTCTCGAAATAGTTTCTATCAAATATCTTCGCTGCTCACGCCACTTCTTGGATTTTTGTCTCAATTCAATAATTTTTTTCGGGATTACAGTAAACTCTGAGTTAAAAATTCTCTCCTTGACCTTAGCATAATTTCTTTGGCGATCTTCTAATGGAATGTAATGCCTCTGACCTGCAGAAAAATTTTTCGATTCTACACTACTCTTATCTCTAAATATATTATCGTTGTTTTTTATTAAAATTCGGACGTTTTTGGGTGCTAATTCTTCCGATTCACAGGGTTCTCTGACGGGTGTGTTTCCCCTGTTACTTCCACACCCCTTCGGGAGTTTCCCTGTTGACAGACAGGACACTTTGGGGTTACTGTGTCCGGCTTCCCACACCTATAGCAGAACAATTTCCGGACTTCTACTGGACAGTCCATAAAAACATGCCCCTTTTCTCGACAGTTCCAGCAGATAATTGGGACTCTAATTTGGCTTTGTATCCGGATAGCTGACAGCTCTTCACCAATATTCTCCTCCGGTACTTCTACAGGCTTTTCATAAATTTCATCATATATTTCATTTACTTGGCGGATAGGTCGCTGGGGGAACGCTACAGTTCTATTTTCGCGCCTAGGGAAATTTCTCTCGGCTTCAATACATTCTATTCGTAGCTGTTCAACCGACGAAATGGTCATCTGATATACATGTCGTTTTATATCTTCACGTATATTTCCCCTTAGGATCTTAATCATTTCGTACTCGTAAATAGGTTGAAGTAATCTAGATCGCAAAATTCCCATCTCGTGAAAATAACTATTGATGCTTTCATTTGGCCTTTGTTTCCTTTCTAACAAATCCCTGAGTATGTCGAATTTGGATTGTGGGGTTTGATACTGGCTTATCAGCGCTTCTTTAAGACCCACCCAATCGGTGTAAACATTACTTTGTCTATGCAGCCAAAACCATTCTCTGGCTTGACCAGAAACCAGAAAGGCGAAATCCCTCAACACTTCAGACCATGGAATGTTATATTGAGCCTGCATGATCTCTAACCGCTTAATAAAATCCATAACTCTTAAGCCTTTCGGGTCACCACTGAAATTTAAACCAAGTTTATCAACTCGTATTCCTAGTGGTTCCACTCTAAACGTATTCGTTATCGGGCCAGTAAATTGATCTGATAATGGAGTTTGACTAGCACTCGGAAATTGGATAATTGGTGGCATATTCCTATTTACTGCGTCATTATTATTGTTTGACGTCGGATTAGCATTACTATTTGTAATAGAATTAGAGGCTATTGTAGCCGTTGGGGGTACAATTAATTGTTTACGCACAGTGTCGGATAGTTCTCTCATGCCTTTTGATAAAGAATCTATCATTTTCTTCACATCAGATATTTCTGTTTCGACCATTTTTTTAACTTTATCTTCCAATGACTTCTGGACAGACGCTGCTTCATCTTGTACTAGTCCATGTAAGTCGGAAGTAGTTGGACCATTATTATTCAAATTATCACTCACTGTTGGCACATGATTGGTGTTCTGATCTCTTCGCATTATCGTGTCTGCTAGATCGATAAATTGCAAAGCACTCATATTCCTATCCTCATTCGCCATTTCGTCCGACCCTATTCGTCTTTGCTTACTCTGCTCTGGAAAATAAGTCGATCGGTTTAGGTCAAAATTTTCGGGTCTGCCTCTCTTATTTCTTTTACTATTGCGGGTATTGTAGATCATGACCTATACCCAAAATTTATCTTCTCACTTGTTATCAATTGAATCTCGGAAGAAACCTTTTCTTGTAAGTAAGTTTTAACTGAATTAACCTTTTTTTAAATATGAAACATCGGCAAAACAAATACTTTTTATAAATACATTCGACTACAATTACGCATACAAATTTTCAAATTTGACAATTACAACATAGATCTACGGGGGAAGTGTAATTTTCAGAAGCAGTGTGTGTGTGGTTTTTTTTTATTTATTTATTTTTTTATTATTATTATTATTTTTTTTTAATAATTTTAGTGCCCTTTATGAGGTGTATGACTCTTCCCTTAGACATTCTTATTCTTCTAATAAATTATAGTGCTTTGTTAACTTCGGACCCCTGACATATCTATTACATTTCATAAATGAAAGCTCAGGGTTTTTATATGCAATACTAAGATTTTTGCATCTCTCAGATCAAAATCGCTATTGCTGCTACTCGATGTACTTATTCCTGTCTATAATTTATTTGGGTTATTTCACAAAAACAAATTTTAACAGTAGGATTCTCAATACAAATTGTTTTATTCCAGCTCGGAATTACAAGCTATTGATTACACCCTACTTAGAACAGTGGAGAAAACGTTCCCATAATATATTTGATATAGTAATATCGCACTTCGTAACCCATCTCTCTAAAGTTCGGATGCATACTAATATCACAGAATATTATTTGTCAAAAACATTTTCTTTTGTCTATTTAAAATCTACTAGCATTCTATGGCTGTGTGCGTCGATGTTACTGCACAGAGTTACTAACCTAATATCACAGTTTAACACGGCCATGTTTGAGTCGCCATTTTTGACAGTGGTATCAGGTACAATAAAGCTTTATTTTAGAACATTGGGCGCCATCTCTGTTATGTGTGCATATGCTCGGCATACGATTAGGCCATCCGACTGTCACAGAGACTCCCAGGGCTAGGGATCTCAACCCGCCAATCGAATCCAACACACTAACATTGAAAGGGGACTTTACTACAATTGCTCTACTCTACGATATACAAAATAGGAGTCATCATACAGGGATCTCGGTGGATCGATCCCACACTCGCCCACCCTACCTGGATCCAGTATTTCCATTTCTTGCGTTTCTCTGAATCCCCTTGAGCCACACGCTTCGAATCACACACTTACTTCATACCACCTTCCCCCCAAGCTATACAAACTTAGCAACACATATTAGTATCTACTGTTTACAAAAGAATCATTTTTAATTTTATTAAAAAAAATAAGTTAGCTTTAAATATTTTCTTAATTTTTTTCTCTACTATTTTTTTTCTTACACTAAAATTGACAAACTGTATGGTATAAAAAAAAACAAATTAAGAATAATACCGGGCTTTCTTAAATCTATGGCTTTAATTACTCGGTAGAAACCAATATATTATCCTTTGCCTTGCTTTTCCCGCGCAATATTCACGCGTCTATACGAAATTACTAGCCACCTAAAAGAGCTCTCTTAACCGGCCTAATTGCCGCTAAAATTCCACGGCCTAAACTATCAGATCGAATCACAAGGACTCAAGATAATTTTACTGTAACACCTCCTAGCCTTTGAAAATAAACGCGGTATTTTTCCCTTACAAACTGATTATTACTTAAATCCTAAGAACTATAACCTATCTTATTACTAAATCTTTATACTGAATATTATATTTTTTTTCTCGAAATTTATGATTATTAACTCTTTTTTTCTTTTCTTTTAGTTCCAAAAAAGGAGACAGCAAATTTTATGGACGTCACATATATATATAAATATATCTATCAAGGACAACACAACGGTAAGACACCTTTTACCTGAGCAGTGATTTATAACGTTATTGATTAATTCTTCTTATCTCTTCTTCCAGTTTACGCTTCTTTCCGGAGGAAACAGATTTTGAACGCCAGGCAAACCCTGAAATGAAGCTGGACTTGTTGACTGGTCCTTTTACAATGCCGGCGTTCTGGGCGGGATCAATAACAGGCACAGCAAAAAGCTCAAAGTTGCAGCTGGCCAGTTTACAATTCAAATCTCCACACCCTCAATGTAACTTTTTTTGGCTTTTTTCTCCTGTGGACAACTTGCCACTACCTTGCGTTACCAAAAAGAAAAGGCAATTTCCCGCCGTTGTGCTGACCAAAACCGGACAATTTTCGGTGCTTCCAAAAAAGCTTGATACACCACCGGAATATTCCTGTTGGAGCAACACACATCACATATAACAACACATTACTCAACAAACCACTGTTACAAACTACTTACACAATAAAAAAATCGCAACACACAAATTAAATTTTTCCACTTCTTCACTGCTCTCTAGCTAAGTTTCACCGGTAACGTCTTATTCTTAACTTTGGCTTTTCTTATGCTCGCAGCCTTTTATACCCCTCTTCTCAGTGAATCCCGCCAGACGCTCATTTTCCACGAAACACCATTTTCCTGAGCCATTTTCAATTTTCATTCCTTTTTCTTTTCAACTGTCAATAGCCATTTTTTATTCTATTGTGAATTCTCATTTCAGCTCACCCCGGAGTAGTAGTAGGTTCCCACCTACTCAGCAATCATAGGGCTGCCTAGTCACTTCTTAGCCTGAGTCACCCTGTCATTCACTACCTTTATAATACTCTTTAACTCAACCCTGTTCGAGCCTAATTTCGTACGTAGCGAACCCTATCAAACCATTTCCGGCATTTTGATCCCATCGCCACCCAGACTACACACCCCGCAGAAATTACAAGCAAATTGAAATCTCGAAGCATCCTCACCATCCTCACTAAAAACCCAAGAAAACTGAGCAAATCCATTTGAGGACCAATTATGGGATGCACTACCAACAGAATTGGGATAATTTCTGCGGTGGTTGTGGACAGGTTTTGCCAAAAAACCCGGCCCCATATATTTGTTGCCTTTTGCGCCGAATGTGAACGGCCTGCAACATTTTATTGAGATCAATTGCCGAAAATGAGAAAGTATTGTTATATAGAAAATAAAATATAACTCATACTCATTTAAATAAATACTACCTTACATGAAATCATAGATTGATGAATTAATAGACCATCGACTACATAATATTTGGTGTGTTATCGTATTTTCCCACCAGATAGCGCCACTACAGTTTTGCGAATTCAGGCCGCAATCAACCTACTCGACTTTGAAAAAAGAAATATTCATTATTATTATTATTATATAAAAAAATCGAAGACATTGTTTTTCAAGAATTTCACGTATTTTTCGATGTCATCATGTGATTTTCACTTAAATTTTATTATGGAACATCTTACGGTTTATGATTTTTTTAACATTTTAGCTTTGAGAGTTTGATCTGCTTATTCGAAAAAAAAAAAACAAAAATATCGTTTTCAAGAATTTCACATATTTTTCGTTGTAATTTTCCCTTTAAATTTTATTATGAAACATCTTACATTTTTTAACATTTTAGATTTGAGTGGCTTTAGTGTTTCACTCAAACCCCTAAAACGACATCTGCTGATTCGATTTTTTTTTTCGATGATAATGCCATGTTTACGTTAGAAGTTTTTGTAGGGTTAACCTATTTTGAGAGGATTTATTTGAAGTAAAAGTAATGGATATGACAATTTAAATCCAAATCCAGTGGGTTAACCCTCATATATATAAACGTACTATAAGCGACGATTCGTCTATATTTTCATTTGTCTATAATAGATGTCGTCTATGTTGTTTTAGGGGTATGAGTGAAAAGACTAAAGTCATTCAAATCTAAAATATTATGAATATTAGGATGTATAGACTAGTAGTGGAATTTTCTAACTAAATTTTTGGAGTTACCGACAAAATTCGGAAAAATTAAAATGCTTATAAATTCGGTAATTGACTTAATTTATAGGTAACTTTGCGACGAAAGACCTACCCATAGATACCGATGTTGTCAACCTTTACTTTTTTATATCAAAATTTTGCGTTCATATATTATTTATATTTTTAATTCTCTTTAAATTGGCACGTCCGTTATAAACAACCACTACATATGTTTTGCGCTTTACTATCGATATTTCTCACATACAGTATATGTTATCGTTATCGGTCATTTGTTATTCTTATCGTTGTTGTGCCTTCACAAATAATGTGAATTTATTTGACGTTGCATGCGGAAAAGAGTTTTCTTTGGGTTTGCGAAAATACACACGGAATGGATCATTTTGACAAGAAAGACGTTATACAAGCTATTCTCATAGCCGATAATAATGTGGAGAACTTTAAGCCATTGTCCGACAACGATTCCACGGTGAGATAGGGCCCAAGAACCCCTTACCTACATTGAACTATTATAATGATTGTCTTTCTTTTGCAGGCTCTCATTCCTTTGGTCAATGTTTCTATGTTGGATTATGCCCTGGAGGCTTTAAATCGCAGTGGAATTGAGGAAGTGTTTGTCTTTGCCAGTCTGCACCTGCAAAGTGTTAGGGATTATATCAAGTAAGAAGGAATCTCTATATGCCAACATGATGGCTAACATTAATTTGTTTACATTTTCATTGGCATAGGAAAGGGATTGCATCACTCAGCTCTTGGTCGGTCAACATGAAAGTTACTGTCATTGGTGGCGAGGGCTGTCGTTGTTTTGGCGATGCCATGAGAGAATTGGATAGCAAGGCATTGATAAGAGGGAATTTTGTTATTTTGGGAGCTGATACTATAACCAATACCGATTTTAGGCCTATATTCGAGCAACATAAGTGAGAGAGAATTATAATAAAAACGGAGTTTGCCATAGTAATCTGTTACCTTTCTAGGAAAATAGCCAAATATGATAAAGGTGCTGCGGCCACACTCATCTTCAAGGAGGCAGAAAATCATTTACGTACCGGCAACGAAATCATGATTGCTGTTGATGTTCAAAACAACCGGCTACATCATCATCAACGGCTGCGTTTGAATGGCAAGGAAAAAGATTTCGAAATCCCCCTGGAGGTATTTATGAACAATTCCCAGGTGGCATTGTATCATAATCTCATCGATCCTCAAATGGCCATTGGTTCACCATCCATGCTCTCGTTATTTTCGGACAATTTCGATTTCGAAACCCGTGACGACTTCGTCAAAGGCATATTGATAAATGAAGAAATTCTAGATAGCCGTATCTACGTCTCCTTGCTGCCCCGTGAACAATATGCCCGCAAAGTAAACAATTGGCTAACATATCAAATTGTTAGCAATGATATTATTAGCCGTTGGTCATATCCTCTTGTACCCGATATGGGTGTGGTGGGCCTTAAACAACAATATATCTTTTTGAAAAATAACATCTACAGAAGTCCCGAATCGAATATGTCCAAAGTCACGTTAAGAGAAAATGTTGTGGCGGGTGCTGGTAGTTTTGTTGGCAGTGGGTCAACGCTGGGCTCCAGTGTTTTGGGCAGGAATGTAAAGATTGGACAAAACTGCCGTTTGGTGAATGCCTTCATATTAGACGATGCTGTGGTGGACGATAATTGTGTTTTGGAATTTTGTGTGGTAGGAGCTAAGGCAAAGGTTGGCTGTAAATCGAAACTTACCGAGGGCTGTGTTGTGGGGAATGAATGCGTATTGCCGGCCAATACAACATTGTCAAGTGCCATAGTCACTGCTGAAGTTACAGAAGATGATGAGGGTAAGTAAAGCTCTTTTTAAGTAGTTTTCGGTCTTTAATGAAAAAGGGGATTAAAGTTTGGCGCTCTCAGCGGTCGCTTTTTATACCCTCAGCCATATGGCTACAGAGGGTATATATCATTTGATACGACCAAAACGTTCCTCATCGAAACAACTGTTTTAGACCCTAGGTCTCTTTGGACCAAATCCGTTTCAGGACATTTGGAGTCGATCTAGCAATGTCCCTCCCTCTATCTGGCTGGTGCACACGATAACTCTCGAAGGGAGTATCCGATTTTGTCCAACCTTGTTACATCGTAATATTTTTGTCAAACTTAGATCGAGTTCGAAGATGGGCAATATCGGCCCTCTCCTTCTGGTGAAGGAGATCGAAATCCCACAAAAGATCGAAATTTTCAAAAAATATATTTTCTGCACAAAAAGAGAACCGATAATCCGATTTATTCCAACTTTGCGGATCCTAATATTTGCGTCAGTTCTAGGTCAGGTGCGAATATGGTCGGTCTACTCCATCAAGTACCTCCCCCACAAAGGGTCAAAATTTTGAATAATAACAACTCTTACAAAATGTTATGTAAGAGTCCGATTGTCCTCAAATTTCACACATCCCAATATTTTTATTAACCCATTGTCTGGAGAGAAGATGGAATATATCGGTCTACTCCTTCTGGTACTTCCCCCACAAAATGTCGAAATTTCAAAAAAAAATCTGCACAGATAAAGAAACGATAATCCGAGTTTGTTCCAACTTTGCAAATCCTAATATTTGCTTCAGTGTTAGGTCAGGTGCGAAAATAGACAATATCGGTCCACTTTATCAAGTACATCCCCCCACAAAGTCTTCTAATTGCACACATCACAATATTTTTATTAATCCAAGGTCTGGCGTGAAGATTAAATATATCCACTCCTGGTAGCTCCCCCACAAAGGGTCAAAATTTAGAATATTCATGAAGCTCATAAATCGCAAAATTATCATCCGATTCCATTCAGACCTCGACAATTTCCTCGGTCAAACTTTCTGCCTTTTTACTTGTCTTTCATTCAAACATTTCTTGCCCTTGTTTTTCAGAATGCGGTGATATTAAAAAGCTGAGTGACAAGGCCTTTATTATTACGCATTCAGATCGTAATGTAGCCAACTCCGAAGACGAGGACGACGATGAGGTATTGCAAGAAGGAAACATTGTGCCCAAAATGATGAAACTTCCCATTAGCTATGAAGAAAGTGATTACTGTTCCAGCAGTGATGAAGATGAGTCCAGAGCCTGTTCGCCAATGCCTGATGATACTAATAGTAAGAACGAATACATATATAAGAAAGAATACATATATTTTCCATGCCACTTTTAATTGCTAATATTCCATGTAATTTAGTATTCCTTTCGGAGGTCGTTGATTCCTTGTCCCGTGGTTTCCAAGAAAAATCCAACCCCGACTTTCTTATATTGGAAATCAACTCATCCCGCTACGCCTATAATATGTCACTAAAGGAAGTCAATTTTTATGTTGTCAAGGCCATATTTAGTTTACCCAACATTAAGGAGTGCAACGGCAACGTACTGGCGGACATAAATGCGGTATTCAAACAATTGGGTCCAGTAATGTCGAATTATATCAAAAGTGAAGACGCCATGCTGGATTGCTTAAAGGCTTTGGAGGTAAGTAATTGTATTTAAATGAAAAAAAAAAACGAAATTTAAAACATGTATTCCTTTTCCAGGATATCTATGATGAAAATCCCAAAGTGCGCGAAAAGATTTCACAAATTGTCCACTTCCTTTACGACAAAGATTTCGTAAGTGAAGAAGCCATTTTGGCCTGGCACGAGGAACTGGATGTGGAGCAACACGAAAGTCTGCGTAAATCTCTACAAAAACTCATTGAATGGCTGCAGCAATCCAGTGAAGAAGAGGACGACGATGACGATGATGATGAAGAAGAAAGTGACTGAAATAGTGTAGATATTTAAATATAATGTCTGTATGTTTTTATTAACACAACAACAAAGAAAAAAGAAACATTTGTTTGTTAAAAAGTCACCATATATTTATTTATTTATACAAGAGTACGTAATGAGAACTGAACAATTAAGGTATAAAATAAGAATATCCACAATCAAACAAAATGTGTGTGTGTGTGTGTTTGGAAAAATGTGAAACAAAAATAAAGAACATCCTTTCGGTAATACGCCACCAATTTCTATTCAACGCTCTACGTTTCCTACGCCTCCTCCACCACCACTAACACTCATCATGTTGGCACTCGTATTCATCATGCTCTGGCCAATGCCCAAGCGAATATGATGTAAATGTATTTGCACATGTTTCTGGAACGTTTCCACATTGACGCCACACAAACTTGAACGCACTTCCTCAATACAGCCCTCAAGTACCTTATTGACTTGGGCCGAGTTTTCGCTGCTCAAATGGGAGGCAACCAGGAGCACAGTTGCCAATTTCTTGATGAGACTTAGAATGTTTTTATTCTTTAGAATACCTTGGCTATTGCGCTGCACAGCCTCCTCGGCTGCCTCTCGACATTTTTCACGCAAATACGACGGTGTCAACATGGCCTGGACTGTGGGATCCCTTGTTATGTCCGAGGCAAAGGATTGCACTTCATTGAGATAGTCCTGGATGTCACGATTCATTTTCTCCATTGAAATTATGATGGATGCATAACGCCTTTGGAATTCTTCACTTAGCTGAGGTCCATTCGCATCGGCGGCATTTACATTTTGGCTTTCATCCGATGACGAGGATCCCGAATTATTGTGGGCAGCTACCAGTTGCTGTGACACTTTTAATTCCGCTTCATTATTCATATCATTGAGACGCACCAACTTGGATTGTTTGATTTTCAAGGCCCGTTTTAGGCGCACCAAGGTCTCGAGTAATTTGGGCGGATAGCCGTTAATATTCTCCTCTCGTATGATGGGATTCTTAAAGGGACTGTCAATGACCTCACCCAACAGAGGATCACTTTTATTCAAATTCATGTTGTAGGAGGAACGTACCTGGCGTAAGCCCCCACCACCCGCACGCATTGGTGACATTGTGTTTCGGGTGGCTCCATTGTAGACACTCATCAGACTGGGTCGGAAATCTTTGGTGATACACTGCAAGGGTAACATTTCATTAAAGTTCTCCGAAACAATTTCATAGTCTGGTATGGAGTGGGTACCCAAGCCGGGACGATCAAATGTGACACGATACGATGATGTCATGGATTCGAAAGCATCCACAGTACCGCTGAATATACCATCTTGTGGTACCCGTAATCTTGCCGTGACCTTGGTGCCCACCGGCAATGTTAGCGGTATTTTATCGGGCAAATCTCTAAGGAAATTCATATCCTTGACCTCACCCGATCGGCGACTTTGCATGAAACGCATTTTTTGCCGTTTCTTTTCCAATTCTCGCCGCTCCTCATCGAAAAAGGCCTGCGAACAACGACGTGGTTTGCCCATCAATGAACGCACCTTTTGCCATTCGGCCCGAGTCAATTGCCGGGTACGCAGATTGGGAAATGATTCGGCGAGACAAACCTGAAAATCATTTTCACCCTCAAACAAGGGTTTATCTATGAACGAGTAGAACCATTCATAAATCACCCATTTATGGGCTTTGGGTAATTTCAAAAGATTGCGTAGACGCAAACCAATCCTTTGGCCAATTTTCTTATCTGCTGGTATAATAGAACCCAGGGAACTACCACTTAGTGTGCTGGGATTATTGCGACCAGATCCCGATTTGGGGGTGGTGTTAAGCGAATTGCCACCCCGGCCACCCGATGATGTGGACGGTGAATGGTGACGTTTTTCATCGGATCGCATATAGCGTGATGCGACCCCTTTACGTTTTTTCAAAATCTTTGTCGGTGTCTTGTGCGGTGAATTCATTTTTAGAGAATTCTTACGCGGTGACAGACTCATCCGCAAAGGTTTGTCATCGTTGATAATGTCATCGTCGAAAAAGAGTCGATTGCGTTTACGTATTCTTGCCGGCATACCACGTGCATTGAGCATTTGTATGGGTTGCTGGGGTTGCGGTTTAGGTGGTGGCGCCGTGCCCACACGCTGTAGACCTAATGTGGCTAAGCTAAAAGATGGAGGTGGCTCTTCTGGTTCTTCATCGGACATTGGTGGTGATTGCTGCTGCTGTTGTTGTTGCTGTTCTGTGTCCTTTTTCTCTGTTTTATGGGATGTTGTCGACGACGAATCCTCGCCCATATTACTGTCCTCCTCCTCGTGCATGGTGTGGTCGTTTTCCTGTTTTGTTGTTGTTGGGGTGAGCTGTAAACAAAGATGAAATAAATTATTAAATAAACTTGTATTCAAATATGTCTGTGGACTCTTGATCGTTTTTTGCATGAATGGGATTTTGAGCTACACCTGAGCTGACCCTGAAATTGGCCTTCGTTGGAACAGACAACACATTTTTTGGTGATTTATTTTTGAAATCATCTGAAAAGCCGAAACAGGAAATTGCCTAGCAATCATTTTTTATACCCTCCACCATAGTATGGAGGGTATATTAAGTTTGTCATGCCGTTTGTAACACCTCGAAATATACATTTTAGACTCCACAAAGTATATATATTCTTGATCAGCATAAAATTGACTACTTCCTATACTTTATTTGAGATATGTGCAAATTTTTGGAAAATATGAAAATGTGTGTGTTATGACAGATATAAGAATTGAAAATTGTGACCGTTTGTGGGTGAGGTACCCGAAGGGGCTGGCAGATATATATCAACTTCACAACAGATCTTGCGTTAGCAAAAATATTTGGATGTGTGAAATTTGAAGAGAGTTGAATGCTTACCTCGCTTTCTTTGAGCGTTTTGTTTATTCAAATATCTTGAACCCTATGTTAGGGAGATATGAGAAGAAATGGTCCGATGCGTACCATCTTTATAACATATCTTGTATTGATGGAAATATTGAGATGTACCAAGCCCGAATGGAATCGGATGTTAATTTCGAGTTTTATGAACTTCATGGATATTCAAATTGTTGACCCTTTGTGGGAAAGGTACCAGAAGAAATGCTCCGATATATCCCAATTTCACATCAGATCTTGGCTTAATTAAAAAATTGTGATGTGTGTAATTTGAGGAGATCCGGATCCTTTTTTGGGATTTTATCATCCTTTTGGTTATTCAAAACTTTGACCCTTTGTGGGGATGTACCAGAAGGAATGGTCTGATCTCTACCATCTTTATAACAGAACTTCTTTTAAATGAAATATTGAGATGTGCCAAGTATGAATGGAATATCATGTTAATTTCTTGTTTTATAAGCTTCATGAATATTCAAAATTTTGACCCATTGTGGGGGAGGTACCAGAAGGAGTGAACAGATATATTCCATCTTCACACCAGACCTTGGATTAATAAAAATATTGTGATGTGTGTAATTTGAAGAGAACCGGATGCATATTTCGGATTTTAAGATATTTTTGGTTATTCAGAACTTTGACCCTTTGTGGCGGAGGTACCAGAAGGAATGGTCGGATCTCTACCATCTTTATAACGAATCTTGTGTTTATAGAAATATTGGGATGTGCCAAGTCTGAATGGAATCGAATGTTAATTTCGTGTTTTATGAGCTTCATGAATATTCAAAATGTTGACCCTTTGTAGGGGAGGTACCAGAAGCAGTGGTCCGATATATTCCATCTTCACACCAGACCTTGGATTAATAAAGCTATTGTGATATTTGTAATTTGAAGACAATCGGACTCTTACTTACATACTTCTTCAAAATGTTGACCCTTTGTGGGGGAGGTACTTGATGGAGTTGACCGATATTGTCCAATTTCGTACTTCACCTAGTACTGATGCAATTATTAGGATTCGCAAAGCTGGAGCAACATCGGATTATCATTTCTCTTTCTGTGTAGTAAATTATTTTCTCTAAAAATGGTGACTTTTTGTGGGGGAGGTATCAGAAGGAGTGGACCGATATTGCCTATCTCCGAACTCGATCTAAGTTTGACAATAATATTATGATGTACCAAGTTTGGATCAAATCGGATACTCCCTTTGAGAGTTATCATGGCAGCAGGCAGCCAGACAGACGGACGGACATCGCTAGATCGACTCCAAATGTCCTGAAATGGATTTGGTCCAAAGAGACCTAGAGTCTTAAAACGTTTTTTCGATGAAGCTCTTTTTGGCCGTATCAAATGATAGCCACATGGCTGAGGGTATAAAAAATGTCTCGGCATTGAGCTCACAATCAGCAATACATTACCCTTAAATTCCCAAACTGAATTATCTCATATTTTTATAGAAGTGAATTTTCCATTTCCAACGATCTTCGATCCAGGAATTATTTCCCTATAAAATATTTAAAACGATCGCTTTTTGTATGGTTCATTCTAAAATAAATTAATACATTTATTATTGTCCAGAAATTCAATAATTTCTCTTCCAAACCTTCGATTCAAAACCACCAATCTCCATCTTCATCATCATCATACATTACTCTGTGGTTGGGAGAGGGGTCGCAGTCGGTGTAATTGATTGTGGTTGTTGTTATATGTGAAATAAACATTTACACAAAATTTTATAATGTTATACTTTTTTGTTATATTTTCTATATATTTTTAGTTTAGTTGATTGAATTGGAGAGGTCGATTAGGTTTTTGGGAAAGAGAGGAGGAAAAAAAGCGGGAATATTAAACATAAGCCGCATTTACATTATGTGTATATATATATATATACTTTTTAATTGCAACAATTGTTTGTCCTTTTTTTTGTTTTTCAAAGATTTTTTTTAATTTGGTTAGTGAAGTGTTTTAGTAATTTATAGTTTTTTTTTTTTTTTTTGTTTTAGTTATTTTCTTATGTCATTTACTTTTGTTACATATAATAGGTTTTAGATAATTTTCGTTTACAATTGTTAGGTATTTTGTGTGCATATTTATGTGAACTAAAAATGGGGAGTAGCAAATAAATTAAAAATAAGATTTTTAAAAATATAAATTGCACAGCCTTTAACAGTTGCTGATATATAACCAGGGGACAATATGTCTTATTAAGCCTTCCAATTTAGAATTTGAAAATGTGCGGGGAAACATAGTTCCAACCTTAGGAAAGTCTCTGTGAAGGTCTCTTCTCTAGAGTTTCTGTATGACGATTCGAAATTGAACTCGAAAACACCAATTTTATGAATATTCTTAAAATTAAATAAATATCAAAATTTTGAAAGCGAAGGCTTGGATTTTTTCAAAATTTTTTCTACACTCATCCAAGGACCGAAGGCTTTGATTTTTTAAGGTTTTTCTAGACTCTTCCAAAGTCCGAAGGCGTGGACTTATTAAAGATTTTTTCTAGATTCCCTCAAGGCGTGGACTTATTTACGATTTTTTCTAGACTCCCTCAAGGCGTGGACTTTTTAAAGATTTTTTCTAGACTCCCTCAAGGCGAGGACTTATTAAAGATTTCTTCTAGACTCCCTCAAGGCGTGGACTTATTAAAGATTTTTTCTAGACTCCCTCAAGGCGTGGACTTATTAAAGATTTTTTCTAGACTCCCTCAAGGCGTGGACTTATTTACGATTTTTTCTAGACTCCCTCAAGGCGTGGACTTATTTAGGATTTTTTCTAGACTCCCTCAAGGCGTGGACTTATAAACGATTTTTTCTAGACTCCCTCAATGCGTGGACTTATTAAAGATTTTTTCTAGACTCCCTCAAGGCGTGGACTTATTAAAGATTTTTTCTAGACTCCCTCAAGGCGTGGACTTATTTACGATTTTTTCTAGACTCCCTCAAGGCGTGGACTTATTAAAGATTTTTTCTAGACTCCCTCAAGGCGTGGACTTATTAAAGATTTTTTCTAGACTCCCTCAAGGCGTGGACTTATTTACGATTTTTTCTAGACTCCCTCAAGGCGTGGACTTATTAAAGATTTTTTCTAGACTCCCTCAAGGCGTGGACTTATTTACGATTTTTTCTAGACTCCCTCAAGGCGTGGACTTATAAACGATTTTTTCTAGACTCCTCCAAAGTCCGAAGGTATGCATTTGTTAATTTTTTTTTTCTAGACTCTCTCGGGGTCTAATATCGTGGACTTTTTAAATATTTTTTCTAGACTCTCCCGGGATCTGAAATCGTGGACTTTTTAAATATTTTTTAGACCCATCAAAGGACCGACTTTTTCTGCTTTTAGACTCCTTTAAGGTTCGAAAGCGTAAATTTGTTAAAATTGTTTCTAGACTCCCTCAGCGCCTGTGTGCGTGGACTTTTTAAAGGTTTTTTAGACTCATTTAAGGTTCGAAGGCGTAAATTTGTTAAAATTGTTTCTAGACTCCCTCAGAGTGTGTGTGCGTGGACTTTTTAAGAATTTTACTAGACTCCTCCAAGGTCCGAAGGCATGAACAGTTTTAAAGAATTTTTCTAGACTCCTCCAAGGTCCAAAGACATGAACATTTTAAAGATTTTTTCTAGACGTGTCAAGGATCTGATGGCGTGGACTTTTTAAATATTTTTTTCTAGGCAACTCCAAGGACTCCAAGTCATGATTTTTATGGATTTTGAAAGGTTTTTTCTAGACTTCCTCAATGCATGAAGACTTGGTCTTTTTAATAATCTAGACTGCCATAAGGCGTGAACTTTTTAAATAAATTTCTCTAGGTTTTCCAAAGTCCGAAGGCGTGGGTTTTTTAAAGATTGTTTTTTTAGACCTCCTCCAGTCCTGTAGTCGTGGACTTTTCAAAGATTTTCCTAGACCCCCTCGAGTCCTGAAGGCTTGGACTTTTCAATGATTTTTTCTAGACTTCCTCAAGGCATGAAGTCGTGAACTTTTCAAAAAAAAATTTAGACCCCCTCAAGGCATGAAAGCATAGACTTTTTAAAGTTTTTTTCTAGACTTCTTCAAGACCCGATGGTGTGGACTCTTTTAAAGATTTTTCTACATTCCCCTAGGGCCCGATGGCGTGGACTTTTTAAAGATTTTTCTACACTCTCCTAAGTCCCGATGGCATGAACTTTTTAAAGATTTTTCCACACTCCCCTAAGGCCCGATGGCATGGACTTTTCAAAGATTTTTCCTAGACTCCCTCAAAGCCTAAAGGCGTCGATTCGATAAAAAAAAAAACAAATAGTTTTGTAAAACTATTTTTCTAAACTCCTTCGAGGCCCGAAAGCTGATTTTATATTTCAGGCGTGAACTCTTTAAAGATTTTTTCTAGACTCCCTTAAGGTCTTAAGTCGTAGATTTTTTACAAAATTTTTTCTAGACTCTCTCAAGGCCAAAGGCTTGGATTTCCTCAAGGTCCTAC